CGACCGCCGCCCGGCGGGCCACCACCGCCACGGCCTCCGCGGCCACCTCCTCCGCCGCCGCGCATGCGTTCGATCGTGCGTTGGAAGTCGCGGAATCGCTCGATGCGTTGCTGCATCTCACGGCGTTGGCGATCGGCATCGTCGTTGTTGTTGCTCTCGCCGCGACCCGACTCTCGGCGGGATTGATCGTTCTGGGCCGCCGGCGTTTCGCCGCTGACGACCGCTTTGTCGCCCAGCAGCGAGACGAGCGTCTCTTTGAGGGCCTCGCTCCCCGTGTTGCGGAGCGACACGACGCGCGTCGAGACCGGGCGTTCGACGCCGGCGCGGTCGAGTTGTTCGACGAGCGTCTTCACCTCTTCGAAGAGCGGCTCGCTCGAACGGACCACCAGCGAGTTGCTGCGCTCGTCGATGCCGATCGACATCTTCTCAGGCTCTTGGTCGTTGGCGCCCTTCTCGCCGCCCTGCAGGGCGCGGAGCAGCTCTTGCGGGCTGGGTTGCCCGCCGCCGCCGGCGGACGAGCCGATACGGTCCTCGAAGACTTGCCTGACCACCGTCGCGACTTCAGAAACTTCGGTGTTGTAGAGCTTGATGAGCCGCGGCACGCCGACGGACTCGATGCGGTCCGGGCCGCGCGGCTGGTCGATGACGCGGAGCAATCGATTGACGGTTTGCAGGTCCTGCGGCGTCGCGTAGACGTACAGGGCGTTGAGGGGCACGTCGGGGACGATATCAACCGAGACGGAACTGAAGCCGACGCTGTCGGTCGCGCCGCCCCCCATGCCGAGCAGGTCGCCGACGAGGTCGCCGCCCGCTCCGCCACCCATCGCGGCGCCGGCGAGGTCGCCCATCAGGCTGCCGCCACCGCCGCCGCTGTCGCCGCCGAAGATGGTCGTGAGCAGCGCCGCGGCGGTCGTCGCTTCGGAAAACTTGAGGTAGTAGACCGCGTACTCCTTGCCGCCGGTGGTCTGCATGTCGAGCACCGAGGCGAGCAGGTCCTCGAGCGCGTCGAGCGCCTCGGCGTCGCGGCTGGCGATCACCGTCGAGCCGACGCCCGGCGAGATGTAGATCGGCTCGGCGCCGTCGGTCTCTTCGGCAGCCTCTTCGGCCGTCTCTCCTGGCTGGGCCGCGAAGCGAAACGGCGAGCCCGTCGTCGGCGCCGAGGTCGTCCGGCTGTTTGGCTTGGTCGATCGGCGCGGCGGCTGCTCTTGCGAAGCGGGTTCGCCGTAGAGCATGTCGAGCGGGTCATCGCCTTGCTCGAGCTCGCGCTCGACTTCGGCGCCGGGGCGGAAGCTGGGGATCCCCTGCCCCGGGTTGGTGACCCGCAGCGGGTTTTCGCGGTACGTCGGCCAGAGGGTCTCGATCTGCTCGAGGGCTCGCTGCAACTCGGGGCCGGAGATGGGCAGTGTCCGCACCGGGCCGCGCGCGGTGGTTTCGGCGGACGTGTCCGANNAGCTGGCTCACCAGTTCGCGGACCTGCCGCACCTGGTCGGCCGTGCCGCGCACCAACAGCGCGTCGGAGTAGCGGTCGGCCTCGATGACGGGGGCGTTGGGGTCGCGCGTCTTCGCGTCGCCGACGGTGGGGTTGAAGAGCCGATTCACGAGCGCCGCGGCGGTCGTCGGGTTCACTTTCTTGACGGGGATCACGTCGACACGTCGGCCATCGGTCTGGAGCTTCTCGAGCGTCTGCTGGATCGCCAGGTGCTCGGACGGCGTCGCCAGGGCGATCAGGCTGCCGGTCTGCTGATCGACGGCT